GCCAGCTGAGATAGCATCCCCAGGATGGTTTGAGAGTGGGTTCACTTGGCAAGAACTGTGTACCAGTGATGCACCTTGGCTTTCATGGGGTGTTGTGGCTTTTTCAGAGCACCTGTGGTACCCTGACACTGGTTTGGCACTTGGTGCTGCTGAACACTTTTATCTATGCTCCCATGAAACTGTGTGTGCCAGCACTGGTATACTGCCATGTGGGATGTGTGGGCTGCTTATCATGTCCTTATGTTAGGATGAATCTATGTAGAGAAGTTCTGAGATCAAAAGCCAGACACTGGGTATTGAATGTGAAGGCAGAAAACAAATCAAAAGGAAAAAGTTACTATTAAAATTTGGTTTTGGTCCCAGCATGATAGCCCATTGGCTAAATCTTCACCTAGCATTTGCCTGTTTCCCACATGGTAAATGGTTCATGTCTCGACTGATTCACTTCCCATCTGGCTCCCTAGTGTGGCCTGGGAAAAACAGTAGAGGATGGCCCAAGAGCTTAGGACTGTGCACCTGCATGGGTGACCCAAAGGAGATTCTTGGTTTCTGCCTTCAGATTGGCTCAGCTGTTGTGAGCACTTACGGAATGACCTAGCACATGGAAGAGCTTTCTCAATGTTTCTCTTTTTCTCAGTGTGGATGGCTTTCCAATAAAAAATAATACAAATGACAGAAAAAAATTTGCTTTTAATTCCTTCTGTGTCTTCACCAAATGACTTTCCACACAGGCTCAACAAATCTACATGAAGGGGGTTTGTTGGGCATGTTTTAGCCTTAGTCTGTCCTGTGTTAGGGTATTGTCTGTGATGGATAAGACCACATGTGTACGGAAACTAAAGTGTACAAAAGTGTTGGAATTCATCACTTTTGCAATATGAGAAGTAATCACATATGGATATTGGCTCTGTGACATTCCGGTGCAGCCTGACCTGGCTACAATGAGTGGCACAACGTCCTAGGGCCTCAAGGTTTGTAGCAGCACAAGTATAAGTTATGTTGAATACAAATTATCATGTGTATCTCACGAGATGGGCTGCTATTCCATGACAGGGTAGTACTGCCTAGATTGTCCCAATTCCTTTTGGAGAGGGAATCAATGGGTTTTAAAAAATGCAAACTGTCTAAAACAAGATAAAATGAAAATGAGGTTGTTTGTGTTTTACATTTTCTGTAATACAAAAAGAATCTCAGCTGCCTTCTTTAGAGAAATTGCTGGGCTGATTCTAGAACCCAAGGAAATAAAAAAGCCAAGCAGACCACCTTGCAAGAGAAGGACGAAGCTGCAGAGGCTTTCTTGTGTGTTAGGGAGGGCTGAAGTTGTCAGAGCAGGAATGGCCAGAAGGCGGAGAGAACAAGTGGGCCCTCCTATGAAGCACAGCACTTGCTTAGCCCAGCTGAGAAGTTGTGCTGAGCTAGAAAGTAAGAGTGATAAGGAAAGAGACAGAGAGCATTGCATTGAGTTCTTTATTGAGAGACCTACAAGGTTGTCAGGTGTAGATAATCTTTTTATTAACCTTTGCTGGCGAGCATGCTTACTGCTCAAAAAGCAATAAAAGCCAAAATGTGTTGATTCCTCAGAGGAGAAGCAGGCTGTGTTGCAAGGCCGCAGAGAGACCAGGTGGCTGGAGTTGTCTGTACCCACTCCTGGGAGTATGTTTAAGATAGATATCATCTCTTCACCCTACACACACACACACACACACACACACACACACACACACACACACACACGTGATAGAGCTTCTCATTTTCATAATAATTGCACCCAGTGGAGCAGAGGAGGTCAAGAATACAGCATGTGTTCACCCCACAACCCCAAACACTGTTTTCTTCCCTTTTTTTTTTTTTGATTTTTATTTTGACATTTTTTACATAGTTAATTAGGGTAAGCAGGTTCAAGGGCTACAGGAAAGTGGATAAGACTAGTATGTTTTCCATATTGTTACCTTCATGTTTAAAGGGGGGTATTTAAGGGAGAAGGCCCACCCGTTTTCCCACCCTCTCCAGGTACCGGATGTAGGGCATGCTCTGAGGTTCTTGCTCAAGTGGTTTTGATATTTCAACAGTTATGAATTGCTGTCAGTGTTGCCACTGCAAGCACTATGAGGTCTTTGAAAAATCCACTGATTGACATAGTCCATCATAGCTGAGATGGTTGGTTGACCTGTTCTGTCTTCTCTCTTTTCTTGGTTAGGGTTCTGAGTCCAGCATTTAGATTAGGAAGATCTCCAAAGAAACTTCTTGTATGTGCTAGCAAGTACAGGGCCTGGCACCGTCCATCGCTCCAATCAGCTGGTGGTTGCAGTTGCTGGGTTGGTTCTGTTTTCACTCCCGACTTCCACTGGAACCAATGGGTGTTGCAGTCCAGCCTGGTTCTGCCCTGCACATACGTGGCCCTCACATAAACCAGTGGGAGCTGCAGCCTAGTTGGAGCGACCCACAATAACCCCCACCAGGCCCACCCCCTACCCTGGTTTGCCAGTAAGTGTAGCAGTAGTCCAGTCTGTCCCACACCCCATTCCACCCCAGCCGCTATCTTAGTTTTATGTCCTCCTGTGGAAGTGGTAACCCAAGAGGGATGAGCCCACTATTTCCCTCCCAGGCCTCTCCCACTCCCAGATTCCAGTTGATGCTGCGTCTAAGGCCAAACAACCCTCGCCCACTTTAATTTTGTTTGCACCAGTAGGAATAATCTGCCCAGCCCGGCTTTTCCCTGATCTAGTCCACATGAGGCATGCAGGTGTGGTAGCTCTGCCTAGTCTGGTCTGCCCCCATCCCAGCCTATGCTCTCTTGCGGAAGTAGCTGTCCAGCAAAGGAACCCTCCCTTATTCCCCTGCCGGCTCTGCCCACTTCCTTTCTTGTTCTCAGGCTGGTTGGGCGCTGCGGTCCCTTCTGGTACAGGCAACCTCACCTTCGCATTCCATAATGTGCACTAGTCTTTGTTGTGACCGACCCTGGGTCGACCCACACTGGTGCCTGGATTTGCCAGTGGATGATGTGGACAGATTCAGCCTGGTCTTGCCCCCACGTCTGCCAATTGTATGCCAGTGGGTAGTTTTCCATGGCCTTTTCTGGGCTGTTTCCTATCATGTTTCTTGCGTTTACCTGCTGGGTCTGTGTCCTGCCAGAGGAGTTGCCCAGGCTCCTCCATCAGAACCTCTCCCAATGCCAGGTTTCACGCTTACCAGTGGGTCCATGAGCCAACCCTACTCAGTCCACCTCCTGTCATAGCAGGAACTGTGGCTTTTCCTGACTGGCCTTCCACCCAATCTGGTTCTTGCTGTTGGATGTTCCAGCCCAGCCATGGTTTGTCCATACCCACGTATGGCTCACACATGGCTCAGTAGGGGTTTGAGACCTTGCCTAGTCCATCGCACATCTGCCCTGGTCCTCCAGGACACCAGGGGGTGTTGGGGTCCGGCCCGGTTCGGTGCATCCAATCCCAGTCCACAGTTGTGCCAAGGGAGACTACAACTGTTTCCAGATCAGAACGCAGCCCCCCTTCCAGGCCACGCGCCTCTTGGTGGGAACCTCAGCCCAGCTAGGGATGTCCCCTTTGCTCCCCAACCGGGTCTGTTCCCAGCCATAGGTCACTTGCCTGCCAATGGATGCTCTGACTCAGCTTGGCACAGCCCTTCCCCTGTCCCGAACGCTGCCATAGACACTGTGGCTTAGCGTTCCTGGCTCCCGCAGACCAGTAGGTACAAGAGCCTAGCTCGGCATGACCTCTGCTCCCTCCTGGTTTCTAGTTTTACTTGTGGGCTAAGGTTTGCTCAGTCGTGCCTGATCTACTCTGTTGCATTACCAGTTGACACATTAGCCAGCTGTTGGAGCTACTTTTGCAGGACAGGCCCCAAGCCATAGCTTCTACATGGACTGGTATTTGGTGGTTGGCATTATTAGTGATTACAAGTTTTACAAAGGAAGAGTTACTGCCTGTTTCAGGTCCAAGAAGCACAACGGCTTCAACCTGGAGCTAATTAAGCAGCGACTCAAAGAACCAAATCCCCAGAGCTCCCTGGCTGGGCGGCCAGCAGGCGGAACCTGGCACCAAATGGCGCACTAGCCGCACGGGGAACGGCTCACCATGTGCACATGGTGGCTGTCTGGGACCCAGGCATGAGATGCCCCGTCCTGAGACCCACCAGCTGCCGGGAGGCTGCTGGAGGTTTAAATAACCCAGGCCCAAGGTCGCGCCCCTCCCAAATCCCATTCACCACCCCATGAAGGCGGCGGGTGGGTCCCGGACCTGCCCAGTCCCGGAGGCCTCCCCCCTCGGTCTACTCACCCTGAAGGAAACAGCCTCTGGAACCCGGCAGGCCCAGGAACAGCTCACCGTACGCACATGGCGGCTGTCTGGGATCCAGGCATGAGACGCCCCGTCCTGAGACCCACCCCCAAACACTGTTTTCAAATTCCCTTGTTAAAACTTCTCATGAGACATAGCCACCAACCACGCCCACCTCACCCTCCAGGCTCCCTGCTCTGAGGGGCTGTTCCTGCTGAAGGAGCCCTGCCTGGCTGCTGTCCTGTGAGCTTTCCCTTTGGCCCATCATCCTCTGCTCTTCCTCGTATACGTCTGTGCTAGAAACTGCCCTCTCGCTGTGTTCATCGGCCTCATGCTTCACAGCGTGCAGCTAAAGATTCTGGGAACCAATAGGTTGCATGGGCCTGGATTTGAAGTTCTCCACATTGGAGCTGTAACAGGGCCATGGACAAAGAACCTGTGTCCTGAATCATTCCCTGTCCACTTCATGAAGTTGTGCATTTGTAGTTATGTGGTTCTGCTTGGAGTTGCAGGCGTGTTTGTGTCAAGGGTCTCTGTGTAACTGAGTTCTCCTGTTTCCACAGGATTTCGGGTGGAGATGGCAGGGAGGACTCAGACCGTGTTTCTCAACGACAACATCACCATCATCTGCAAGATTCCTGGTTCTCCCGCTCTGGACATCAGCACTGTGGGTGTTGTCTGGTTTGTATGGAAGAAAGGAACAGAGGAGAAAGTTCCTGTGTTTGAGTATTATGGAGATCACGAGAAGGCATACCGAACTGGAGCCAACATCTCTCCGGAGAAGCTGATGAGGGGAGAGGCCTCACTGCACCTGCCAGCCATTCAGCTCAGTGATGCTGGAGAGTACTTCTGTAAGGTGGTGGTCACCCCTGAGATGGATGAGAAAAGTGTGCAGCTAGAAGTTGTGGGTGAGTGCCTGAGGGCAATGCCCGGGATCCCGTGGGGCTGCAGGTGCAGAGTGGGATGGATGTTAGAGGCTGGTCTGGGGACCCACCGTGGGCTAGAGAGCTGGGCTTTGGTGGGTGGTGAGATGACTCTGGGCAAGGTGTGAAGCCTCTGAATCTCGGTGCCCTTGCTAGAAACAAATGTGATGGCATCTGCCCAGGAGGAGTGGGGAGAGATGGCATGTTGGGAAGATGCAGGTGAAATGTTGGATGTGCCCCTGTCTATGACACATAGTGAGTGGAAGACAGCAATAGTGGTTATTGCATTATTCCCACTGGGTGTGGGTTGTCATTTTATCTGAGCAGGTTCCTTGGGGAGGCAGCTGGGAAAGAGAGGGTTGCTAGACTGTGGTCCCCTTCAATTTTTGTGCTTCTAAGTGAGTGAGATAAACATTTAGCATCCTTGCACCTGGATTTCCCATTTCCAAAAAGGGATTCTTAGGAAGATGTTATGCAAGATGTGCAGTGGAGTGAGGTATGATGAAGCCTGACAGGACAGACACATCCCCAAATTCCATCTTGAGCTCCAGTGTGGTGTGTTACCCAGCAGTCTGGTGAATAGATGCTGGTGAGATGGGGAGAAAAGGAAACTCTTGCAGACAGTGACATGAAAAGTGTTTGAGCCCTTGTGGGGAACAGTAGGAAACGTCTTCAGATCAACTGAAATAGGAGGTCAGGGTTGGGCCTAGCAGTTAAGATGGCTGCATGTGGGGTCCGTGTTGTGTCATGGTGTGTTGTGCCCCTGGCATCCCTTAAGGTTGCTGGTTTAGTGCAGCTGCACCTCTCCCAAAGTAGTTCCCTGCTCTTGTTCCTGGGAAAGCAGCCCAGTAGACCTGAGTGCTGGGGCTCCTGCCATCCATGAGAGACCCAGGATGGAGGAACTGGCTTGCATCTTCAGCCTGGCTTAGTCCTGGTTTGTGTGTTTATCTGGGGACTTAGCAATGTATGGGAGCATGCATTCTCTCTCTTCTGTTACTTTGCCTTTCATATGCATATATACATAAATCTTTAGACATGTAGAATGGAATGTTTCATAAGCATTAAAATGGAGAGACTCAGAAGTGATGGTAAGTAAAATGAGCCATCCACTCACTTGCTACTTGTTTCTCTCATATGTAAAGTTAAGAGCCCTGCATTTGGACAACAGAGCTGATGCTCCCTGGCTGCACTTAGTGGTAAGTGGCTGGGGCAGCGTGAGATGAATGAAGACTGGTTGGCTTGAAGAGCACAGGTGGTTTCCTCCCATTTGAAGGCTGCATCTGAGGCAAGGTGTCCGTATTGTTGGTTCTTTTGAGTCCTCTGGCCTTCTTCTCTCTGTGTCTTCCTTAGCAGACTATGGTGTGTTTCTCTTATAGAGTCTGGGTGTGTCTAATATATATATGCACGCGCGTGTGTATGTGTGTAAGCCTAAAGGCTATATGTGTGTCTATATATTTCTCTCTATATTTTTATTTGCATGTGTGTTTAAATTTTTATTCATTTATTTGTGAGGCAGAGAGAAAAAGAGAGAGAATGATACCTTACTAGTTGACTTTGAATTGTGTGATGCAGGCAGTAGGCCAGCTGGGAGCTGACTCAGTCCTCACCCCTATTGGGTTGAATGGACCCTGCCCTTGAACCATCACCACTGCCCCCTAGAGCCTGCAAAAGCAGATAACTGAAATCAGGGGTTGGTGCAGAGACTGAGCCTGAGTACCGTGGTGTGGGCACAGGCATTCTAACCTGCACCTGAACCAGGAGACCGAATGTCCCCTTTGGCCATGTGTACAGGAATGTACGTCATTATTTTAATCTCCAAGTTCCGTTGATCACTACTGTTCTGTAGACAAGTAATTGATTTTTGTACATGGGCTTCTTACCTTGAGGCTGCTGCTATCCTTACTAGTTCTCAAAGCCTTTTTTCTTGTTTTTTTGGTTGAATCTTTGTGATTGTTATCTATAAATCACATTATCTATGAACGAATATAGTTTCATCATGTTTTCAAGTCTGTGTACTTTTATGTTCCTATCCTATTTTACTGGTCTGGAGTTCATTGCAATGTACTAGGAATAGAGTGTAGAGGGAGCATCCTGCCTGCTCCTGAAATTTTTTACTTTCTTCCTCAGGATGTTGGGCATAGATTTTAGGTAAAAGTTCTTTTTCAGCTTGAGGAATTTCTCTGATGCCACACATTGTTCTTTGTTTTGTTTTGTTTTTGTCATATGGATGGATATTGCTCTTGCCTAACAGTGATTCTGCCATCTCTAAGTGGAGCTGCCATCTGATCATGGTACATGGCCTTTGTATTCCCAGCCATCACAGGGGAGTCCAGCCATTCTGCAAGGGCAGGGCACACTTGTCATCCTCAGGACACACTTTGATGGATGTGTGCTTCCAGGGAGTTGCTTTCACCACGTTTCAGTGAATCTGGAATGACCAGACCCTCAGTTCACATGGCCAGACCAACCTTCCATGAATTCAGATGATATAGGCTTCATCTGGATGTGTTGTTTCTAACTGAAACTATGTAACAGAAATTAGGAATCAATGAGCATTGTGTCCCACAACAGTGCTCTAAGACTTTCTGCAGATTCTCCCAGATGTGTAGGAAGCAAGATGTGTGAGGAGACTCAGCTGCACTCATACTGTGAGCATTGGGCTCTAGCATGGTGGCATGCTGCTGGCACTGGCCTTGACATTTAGTCAAAGCAGAGTCTGATTCAGTTCACTTGTTCTTCCTGAGGTGTTTCTCTGTGTCAGACATCAGGTGGGTAATAAGCTTGTCCTCCCTTCCCTAGAGTCTGCTGTGGCTAGTAGGTGTTTCTCAGTCAGGTAAGCTGGGCATGGCTGCAGAAGTACCTGTGCCCCAGTGTCCATCTGTACAGTGAGTGTGGCTATCAGGTACTGGGTTTTGTCTTCCTACAGAAGCAGTGAGGTGCAGATGTGTGTGTGTGGTAGGAGTCAGTGAGTGAGGGCAGGAAGAGTTGAAGTCTCATTCCAACTCAGTGTGTATCTTCTCTCTGGCAGCTACTCCAACCAACAAAATATTTCAGGACCAGGTCCTGGAGAACTCAAAGCAATACACACGCATTGTGTGCAAGTGCAGTGGTTTCTACCCAGACTCTGTGAACATAACATGGAAGAACTGGTCCCCGAAAGCGGCTCAGCCTCTGCCGATATCTGAAGGCATCTTCACTGGTCATCATGTCCAGAATGAGGATGGGACCTTTAATGTCACTAGCTATGTGACACTGAAGTCTCCTCTGGAAGATGCTGGGGCCGTGTACCAGTGTGTGGTGAGCCACATTTCCCTACACAGCACCCAGAGACTCAACCTCACACTGAGTGTGACAGGTAAGCCTCTTTCTGGACATGTTCCCTACTCCACGATTTGAGGCAGTGCAACTTACAGCTTAGGTTCACAGGCATGCCAGGTGCTGCACTGGGAATTGAAGGGGAAGGAGGTAAAGCATGGGTGGAGGGAGCAAGCTGGGACAAGACCCAGCTAAACCAGAGTCAGCAGCCGAGACTAAGTCCCTCTCCTCAAAGGCAGAAGGTATGGTCAGCTCGAGTAGAGAGAATGGTCCAGTGGAAATGGGCTACTCATCAGCTTGTGTCTCCTGGAAATTGGTTCTCAATGGTCTTTGTGGCATGGGGTGGTAAGCTTGCATGCCTCTATGGGGATAGGGACAGGATTGTATCCAAATGCCCTGAAGAGAAGGGGTGGGCCCGGGTCAAGAAGCAGCCTTGCCACATCCCTCCCAGCAGGACTAGGTCTATTGTAAGTGGTTTACTGGTAGAAGGCAAAATAGTAGTCCTATGTTTGTCCTGAGCCTGTGCCTGGGCAGAACATAGGTCAGATCTTTAGTGCAACACAGCTCAGCTTCTGCAAAATCCCTCCAGCTGTTGTTGGTAGTGGGAGGGTAGTCATTGAACTCATCATGATTGCCCTGGTCATGACTGTGGTGTTGTTGGGAATGACTCTGCCAGTGAAATTCATCTTCTTGGTTCCAGGGGAGTAAGGAAGGCAGAGTTCCAGGGGTAGGCGGTCTGGGTGTGCCAGATGAGACCTTGGATGTTCACAGAGGGAAGAAGGAATTGTTCTTGGGCATACGGGTATTTGTGGTGGCTTGTTGCAAGGAAGTGCATGCAGTGTGTGGGGGAGGCACATGGAGTGGGAATGTCCTGTGTGTGCATGTCTGCATGACTAAGCATGTGTGCTGACACTGGCTGTAGAAGCTTTTTTTTTTTTAATTTTGCCTGCAAACATCTTTATTTTACTTTTTGTTTTGTTTTAATTGATTACATTGCATCATGCGACACAGTTTTACAGGCACTGGGATTCCCCCCTCCCTTCCCCAAAATGCGCCCTCCCCGGCCTTCTCCCCCCGCAACCCCCCCCCCCCCCGCAGTTGAGCTTTTTTCCCTTGCAAGCATACTGTAGAAGCTTTGAAGCTCTGTGTGGCCTGTGTATGTGGTGTTGCATCTTGCTGTGCATTTCTGACAAGGGTTGAACACACTGACATGTCACGTTGCATGTGATAGGAATGGAATAGCTGTTCACCTGGTAGGGGAAAAGGAACAGAAACCACGTGGGACCTGGCAGTGGTTGTGTCATGTTTTGGGCTTTGCAAGTAGCTTCTTCTTAACATTATTCTCTTTCTTTTACAGACCCTGTGAAGAACAATAGCTACGTGATTGTTTTACCTATCGTTTTACCTGTTGCAGTGCTGATTTTAGATATAATTATTGTGGTTTACTGCAATCCAAAATGGTAAGGGACTGCTGAGCAGAGTTTAGCCCAGTCTTGAATTTGCACCAGGAGATCAGGGTCCCAGTCTAGAGTGCTGTTGACGAGTCCTCAGAATTGATGCGAGGCTGTTATACATGTGGGTGGTTTTCCTTGTGCTGGGGAAGAAGTGTTCCATGTGATTTCCATGTGGTGTTGGGGCTCTGGGAGGATGCAGTGGCAGCTGCCCTCTGTCTGTGTGCTGCACAGGCTCCCTGTGAACTGAATCTGAGCATGCCTTTTCTGGCCAGAACTTGTACCTGTATGTGTAGACCAATATGTGTAGACCTGTGTCTGCTGTTGTCACTCATTGTGGGCCTTATCAGAGAGAGGTTTTCCTTCCTAAAATTGCTTGTATTATGTTAATGTGTCAGTTGGCCTACTTA